GTTCTGTTTATGAAGCCCCGGTCTTACTGCATGAGTAAAGAATTTGCCTTTAAAGACAAGGAAAACAACAACAGGGGAATGAAGCCCAGTGCTCACACCAAAGACCAGATCCTCTGTTGTTTTTGTGTGAGCTCCTTCACGGCAGCCCACATTGCCAGTGAGTAAGCCTCCAGACCACCAGTTACACAAGGTACCGACAGCAGTTCGGGGAGAAACCCAGGATGCGGAGGAGAGAGGAGAGAGGAGCAAGAGAGATGTTGGCATTATTAATCAGAATGCAGGGCTTGCTCTTTGCACTTGCTTACAGACTGTGCCACTTTTAGCGCACATGTAGCTGGTTCAAGCTGATTTTGTACAATTTAGCTATCTCGGTTTCCTTAAGTGCATTGTTTCTTCCTGTGATTAAAAAAGTAGTGGTCACTGTTACTTGAGATAGAAGCAAATACTTTTCGTTAGTTTTTCACACAACCACCCAAATTTACCTCCCTCTCTCCCAATTTGAGAAATTAGCAACCTTAAAGTAGACTTGTCTGTGACTGTCTGTAAGTAGGTATCAGAAGTTTGAGGTGGGACGGCTCAGTTGCCACAATTGGTCAAAAATGGAAGCCCAGAGTCCCCAGCAGAGTTCCCTCTGTTCACAAATGCTGATCACCATAGTACTGCAAACTTGCTGGCTAGTGCTATGTTTATTTGACACAGACTAGAGTCATCTGAGAGGAGGGAACCTCAATTGAGAAATGCCTCTATATGATCGAGTTGTAGGTAGGCCTATAGACCATTTTCTTAATTACTGATTGCTGCGAGAGGGTCCAGCCCATTGTGGGTGAGGCAATCCAATCCTGGGTTCTATAACAAAGCATGGTAAATAAGCCATTGAGAACAAGTCAGTAAGCAGCACCCCTCCCTGGCATCTGCATGAGCTCCCACCTCCACGTTCCTGCCCTATTGGAATTCCTGCCCTGACTTACTTCAATGATGAACAGTGATGTGGAATTGTAAGCCAAACCAACCCTTTCCCCCTCCCCAAGTTGCTTTGGTCATGGGGTTTTATCAACTCTGGCATAATGAAGGGCACACCCATGACCTCCCTGTGATTGCTTTGATTGACTGATACCTGCTATAGTTATTAATATTGTCATAACTATTTCATATTACAAAGTCAAGTACAAAATTAGAGCTAGAGCTTAGTCCCTAGAGATGGTTTTGTCTGTAGTCTTTAAAAGAAGACAAATCATAAGCAACAGCATTGAAACAGACAAGCTTAGAAACAGGGAAACCTTTTTTTTTTTTGAGTTTTTTAAAAATTTTAAATAGCTTGTTTTACATGTCAATCCCAGTTCCCTCTCCTTCCCCTCCTCCCACACCCCCCCCATCCCCTCCCATCCTCCCATCCTATTGCCAATTCCTTCCGCATAGGGGATATCTAGAGTCTATCATTTCATTCAGGGTAGGGTCCAGGCACTTCCCTAAGAGTCCCGGCAGAGAGAGCAACCCTCTTTGTGTTATGAACACATGATGTCTGTTAGTATTAGAGGGATAAACACTGATCCACTGCTCAGGACCCCATAGGTAGCCCAGGCCTCCTCATTGACTCTCACATTCAAGGGGTCTGGATCGGTCCCATGCTGGCAAAACAGGGAAACCTTTTAATTGGTGCATTCTGTTTATACTTTTAAGGGCAACTCTTTGATAAAGTCTATAAGCTACCACTTTGAGTGGCTATTATACATATGGAGAAGACTCAGGAACCCTTGAAACAACAAAACATCCTGCTAACATCTTGCAGCATGGTACTTTTGATAACTAAAAATATGATAATATGATAACTAAAAATAAAAATATTGATCTTGCCCACCATTCAGAAGAACACCGGTATCTTTACAAGAACTAAGAAAAACTACTGGGCTTTGGACATTGTCACTCCCAGAAATAAAGTATTCATAAAACCTATATAGTATTCTGAGCTAGTCCAGGATTCAAATAAAAAATATATATATGTACATATATATTCCTTCTGTATTATATTCTTTTTGAGCACTTTATTTCAATGATAAATACACAAAACTCCCTAGATGGAGTTATCAGACCTCTGGCTATTACTGAATGAAAAGTCTAGCTTGGGTCCTCATCATATACCTCATTGAGCTCAACAGTGCTTTTGTGTCATTTTTGTCATTTTGGGGGCTGCAGTAATGCTTATGTGACTAGGATGTAGGTATCTAGAAGAGATAAAGTAATTGTCCCTACTCAGGAGAGTGTGACAGTAGAATATTCTATGGCCATTTCTCTCAAGGGCCCATATTCTTAGTTGTTTCTGTCTAGCACATACTGATCACTTAGCTACTATTTGTTAAAAACCATCTGAACCATTGTCTTTTACACTTCTGTCATGCTGGCTTTGGCTAAAATTACACCTCCATCCTCTGTGCATCTCCCTCTATTTATTATTTTTCAGTCAAACCTGGTACTACTTGGTAAAGCCCGGATCAAAGCCAGGCTCACATTAGAGCCCTTTCCCAGATTCTTGAGAAGAAATTGCCATACATACAGATCTTTCATCACCTCTGTCATGTGGCTTATCACATTGCATCATAATTAGCTAAGACTGGTTCTTACTTCAAATGCTGATTTTCTGGAAAATATTGATTGGATCTTGATTCTCATTATGTGCCCACAGTCGAAGATCTACCTGTGTGTAGCATCCCCTCCAGATGGTACTTATGACAATGGTAGATTTATTATAGACGTCTTCATGACTTCCCACCTCCCTGAAACTATGGCCTTATCCACAAGAGCTTATCGCTCCTTTGAAGAGGTGTAGACTCTCATTTCTTCATTCCTAGAATCAGGGCTGACAGTGACACTTGCTTTGGACAATTAAACGTGACTATGCCTAAAGAAGGAGCAAAGTCATGCTACTAGAGTCTGTTCTTAGAGACTTATGAGACCCATGGCTTGATCGTCTTAGTTTCTGTAGCTATGAAGAACACATGTATGAGAAGCACTATTCCAAATTTTCAACATTTAGCCAATCCATCAGTTAAATCCGCACAAATGAGCCTGCTACACTAAGAGACTGGCTTAGTCTCAGGAACTAGTCCATTTGATATAAACTTAATGAAAAAAGAAGTACTTATTACTTGGAATCACTGAGGTTTTGAGATTAATTACCAGAAATAGCTGACTTAGTTCCTGGACACTCAGTTTAGGTTGCTAGATTGCTTGCCTAGCTTGCCTGGCATTCTGGATTTGATGCCATAAAGCAGGTGTAGTGGTGCCTATGTGTAAACACAGCGTTTAGGAGGCAGAGGCAGAAGGATCAGGAGTTCAAGGTCATCCTTGGCTGTATAACAAGTTCAAGGTGATCTGGACTATATAAAATCATGCCTTTAAAGGCATAGCTGTTTCTTTTTCTTATACTTTCATTCAAACAAGCAAAAGACCGTACATCCCAAAATTCACAAATAGCATTTTGTACAGGAAACAGAGTGTATCATTTGTCTTTCCTACGTTATCCTCAAAATTCTAGCCCAGGTAAAGATTATGGCCTCACTGAATGCTAGAGCTGCAAATGACCTGTTGTTCATCAATATCCTCGAATTTCTTGAAAACAGAAACGGAAACAAGAGAATTACTGTAATTGACTCAAGGTCCCCAAAGGGCGAATGAGGGAGAGACTTCTTTTGCTGTGGTGCCTTTTGGGAGCTGTGGGCCTCCACAGCCTCAGGTTTGCCACCTCTCAGCCAAGCTTTAATCACCAAAGCTTTGCTCTTGGTTTTTTTTCAAGGTACAGTTGGAATGAAGTGCTCATAAACACAGTCCAGCTTAATGAGGAATGATATGAGCATCCAAGAACAAGTCATTTAATCACTTCAATTACTAAGAAATTCCGTGTATGTACTTTCTCCTGCCCTATTTATAATGACTTTTGGACCTTCACTGTGGGGTACTCTGATGCCAAGACTTTCCCAAACAGATAGATAGATATGAGAACATTCAAACCCCCTCATCTCGAAGCTTATTAGTCTTACACAACACCCTTTCTTGTACTGGTTAAATGGTCATAGAAGTTTTTTTTGTCAGAGGGTATGGTCATACCCAAGACTTATTTGTGTAAAAACTTTCACTTGTGGCATCATGCAATGTTGAGGACCAAAGTCATTTAGGGCACAGGCCTGAGAGCTCTTCCATAACATAATTTTAGCAGACGGTGATGTAAATTTTCTTTGCTGATAGCTAAGTGGGGTGAGCATGGAAAGGAAAAGGCTGAGAGCTGGATTCAGAGCCCTTGGATGCTGACAGAGTGTTTTCCCAGTGCGAGTCAATAGTTAAGAAATGGGTATGTACCCTAGTGCAGAATTTGTCATGGTCAGCAGCAATAAAAGAAAAGCATTTGGTGTTAATCGTCTCTTAATCAGAAATCAAACTGAACTTTATTCCATGACAAAGAAAAATTAACTGTTTTGTTAATTACTATAATTATCTCCCCACATTTATTTTGACAGCCATGTCAGTGGTGGAAAACAATCTCCTTAAATTGCCTCTTGCTTCTTATGAATCACAAATTCATACAGTTTTGACAAATAATTGTACTCCACCCTTTACACTTGCTTTGGGGTCTTTTGCAGCCTGAATCTTCAGAAACATGCCTTGGTGAGTTAAAAGGGAGAGGGGCAGAGGGACAGTGAGGAGGGGAGAGAGAGGGAAGAGAGGCATGGGAGAGAGGCATGGGAGAGAGGGGGAGATCGTTTTTTATAGAAAAGATTATGTGGCACCGTACTAGACCTTGGGACTGTCTCCCAATCATATGCAGTCTCATCTTTCCCTTCCCTTCCCTTCCCTTCCCTTCCCTTCCCTTCCCTTCCCTTCCCTTCCCTTCCCTTCCCTTCCCTCCCCTCCCCTCCCCTCCCCTCCCCTCCCCTCCCTCCCCTCCCTCCCCTCCCCTCCCTCCCCTCCCTCCCCTCCCTCCCCTCCCTCCCCTCCTCTCCCCTCCCCTCCCCTTTATGATATGATTCTAGCACCCACATAGACATGCCTGTACCAGAAAACTTGTGATAGGTGGGCAAAGGGAAAGGAGGGAATGTAGATGGGTTTGTTCAAAACACAATTTATGCATGTATGAATATTAAATAAAATGTTCAAAAATAAAACAATTCCCCCAATGCCAGGTGTGGTAACATGTGCTTACAATCCCACAACTGGGAGGCAGGGACAGGCAGGTCCCTGGGGCTCTCTGGATAGCCATTCTCATCTAATTGGTGAGCTCCAGGCCGATGAGGCGACACCCCGTCTCAAAGGAGGTAGATGATGTTCCAGATGACTTCTGTGACTGTTCTCTAGTCTTTACATGCATATATGTGCATGTTCCCCAACACCCAGACACACACACACACACATGCACATACACACATGCACAGGAAAGAAGAAAGTAAATGAAACTGGATAAGAAAAGATCTAGGATGGGGAAATGAATGGGATGGAGACGCAAAAATGTGAAAGGCACAAAGAATAAACACAAAGGAGAAAAATATTTTTAGAAAGTGTCCTCTCATATATAATCCTTTTTGTCGTATGTGTATGAGTGTTTTGCCTGCATGTATGTGTATGTATCACATGCATACAGTGCCTGTGGAGGCCCAAAGAAGGGGCCAGATCCCGTGGAGTTACGGATGGCTGTGAGCCACCATGTGGCCGCTGGGAATGCAACTCAGGTGCTCTGGAAGAGCATCTAGTTTTCTTAACCACTGAGCCACCTCTACCACCCTCGTGTAAGCCTTGATGTTAGCATGATTCGATGTCTGGAGCAGTAGTGCAGACAAAGGAGACTGGATGAGTTCTCCACAGAACCTGCACCCTGATGGAGACGCTCTACTCATAGGAATGCTAGCATCAGTGTCTTTCAGACGTCCCTACGGCTCCACCAGGCCATGGGGAATCCTCTGTGGAGTACCTGGCTTCTTCATGCTGGCAAGTCAATCACTTCCCCTGGCCTATTCAGCTGGAGGTGCGATGGGGTTTGTACTGTTCTGTGCTTAGCTTTCGCTTCTGTTATTATTACTGATGCTATCAGCCATAGATGCCTGAGAAGATGTTTTCTTCCTCCCTGGTGGCTCAAAGCAAAGGGGTGTTTTAAAAAACTTGAAATTGTCCATCATAGAGAAAATGCGATGAAGTCCGATCCTTGATAAATGCATGGCATTTTCATCTGGAAGACTCTTGTTTTCTAAGCAATAACTTTTTTGTTGTTGCTGGTTCTAAGTAGGTCTGCAAAGGATTGAAAAGGCAGGTAATTTCCAGTTAAAATTTCCTTGGATTTTTTTTTTGAGATTTTTCTTGCACATTTTGCACATTTTATACATTTTACATTTAATATACTCACCGAGGCAGTTCTGGCTTATCTATGAGTAACTAGGCTCTACCTTGGCTCAGACACTCCTAAATCCATCTATTTTAAGAATTTTAAAAGTGCCTCTTATCATTTCAGAATTCAGATTTGAAGTCTGAGAAAGGAAGAGAGAGCTTCATTCTTGGCCTCAGTCCCAACCCGAACAATGCGAGGTTTATATGGAAGTTCAGAGAATGGATGCAGGATGGGGATAGATTTTATTTTAAAACTACTTACGTTAGCTCACCTTCCTTCTTTGCGAGCAAGCAAACGGTGGTTTCGCAACAGTCGTCCTCCGCGAAGAACACATTGTGAAAGGAACGCTCAGCTCTTACCGGGTCTCTTTTAATAAAAGTAAAACTATATCTCACTTGTTTTGTAGGAAGACTAAGAGACTTTGCTTAGAAAACCCGGTGAATAGAAAGAAATTCAGCAAAAATATGAGCTCATTTGTCTTCTGATATCTCTGAAATTCACCCACTCAATTTGGGAAGGGGTGGGCTCAGAAAGGATGGCTGGCAGCGTGTTTACAGGGAATGGGAACTAGCTCTTGGAACTCCTTCATCCCTGTGAAGAGTTTAGGCATTCTTTAGCCTGCTGATTGCTGACTTTCCCTTGGGTTTTGGAGTTTTGTTTTTCTTCTTCTTTCTAGAAAGTGACTCTACTGTGAGGTTATAAAAATCACATGGACCTTCCTGCCTCAAGGGCTTTACTCCACACGATGGTCTCCTTTCCCTCAAAATGCAGCTTAAGGGGTAGCAAACCTTCACTTCACCCCCCAATGTCACTGTTGAGAACAAGTCTTAAGAATTAACCCCACGCGTGGGTTATTACTGATGCTATGATGAAATGGCCCTGTGGCGGCGGGTGGATGGGGGTGGGATGCTGATGCTGAAGAGAGTTTCTCTCTCTCTCTCTCTCTCTCTCTCTCTCTCTCTCTCTCTCTCTCTCTCTCTCTCTCTCTCTCTCTCTCTCTCTCTCCCCCCCCATGCCGCCTTTTGCAGGTTTTGTGGCCACACCTTGCTTGCAAATGCTCACAGCCTGTGGACCCTGCTTCTGGGCAAAGCCACACAAGCTCACAGCCTGATCATGTCTTTCACTTTCTCGCTTTTCTGCTTCACTGTGGCTCTAAAGTTTTTCTTTAGTGAGATGGGAGAAACTGTCCTTTTGTTCCACCTTTGTTTGCGTGTCTCTTTGCCGTCCCCACAGGGCCATTTCAAACCATCATTTTGAAAGGTCACTGGTTCCCTTCTCCAACAATGGGTTAATGACACCCAAGCAAGCTATATTAAAACTATAGCCTGTATGATCATAAACAGCTCTTGAGACAAAAAGAACATAAGTAAAAGTCTTCCAAAAAAAACCAACTCACTGAAAATATTAGTTAAAATGTTAAAGTATATTAGCCAATTACACAAAATCCTTTTATATTGCCTTGCTTCATTTCAAACATGGCATGGGCTATTTTGTCTGTGAACTCAAGTGGAACAAAAAGCTACAGAATGCAATTTGTGTCAGGAACTGGACTACAGAAGGACAACTAATTCTAATTAGTACGAATTCCCCATAGGCCAGGGGGAGGCCAAGTGCAGGGACCAACTGCCTAATGCTGTTTCTATCTTGCAACAGGTGGGCCAAGGCCTTCTAAAGGTTGTCATGGCAATGGCTAATGGTAGACCTTTGGCCGGACACCAGTAATTAATTGCAGGCATGTCCAGCCTTTGAATGTGATATCTTTTAATACAGTTCTGAAATAAAAGAAGGCTGGCTCTTCTAATTGGTTAAAATTCAAACAGCAGAAGGCTTTGCAAGAACCCCTGCAGAATAATGCCAGTCCCATTTCAGCCTCTCTAACTTAGAAGCTTTGCTACATGGGAGTGAAGACAAAGGTATTCAGTTGAGATAAAGTTAAGACTGCCCAATGTGGACTCCAGAACAAAACCTTCACACAAGGCCCTAAGGCTGTGTGTGAGGCCTTGAAGAAACACACCTTTCAAAAATCTGATAAATTATCAAAAAAATGTTCATCTGATTTCCCATGCCTGAGTGTTACAGCCTGTTGGGTAGGCATCATTCAGTTAGACATCTTCTGTGACAGCCTATATTTAGATGGTAGTCCCTGAGCATTGCTTGTATTGGGGATGTGGAAAAGAGCTGGGTAGTTAGTAGTGGAGGTCTTTGCAGAGTGAGGGGACCAAAGGAAGACAGCTGTGCTCCACAGGGGTCCTCTGTTCAGCTCAGACCCAAAGCATTACCTCCAGAACGTACAAGAGATCCTACAGGCAACCAGAGTCCTGCATTGCTAGCCACTTAGTAAATGGGGTATGATATATTCTAAACAAACTACCTGGTAATGAGGTAAAAAGATAAGCTCCTTCTTCCCCTTTGGACTTGAAATTGTGCTACCATACCTTCTGGGATGGTAAAAAGAACAACCAAACCAGGAATGATAGTTGGATGAACTGAGTCTCACTGTATGGCAGTCCTTGTGCTAAGTAATCTGCATACATTACCTCGGAATGGTTATTTTTTTCTGTCTTAAGGAGCAGGAGATTGAAGCTTAGGGAGGTTGATGGGCTCACTGTCTACTAGACAGTGGCAGAAGCAGCAGCCTCCTAAACCAGGCCTGACTTAAAGAAATCCATGAAAATGGTGGGCTGGTCTATGTTCATTTAGGGTTGAGCACAGCCTGCACACCCCTGGTTTTCTTTTGTCGCTATTGTTATATTAATTTATGTACTGGGGTGGCGTCTAGGGCTTCATGAATACTAGACAATTATTGCACTACAGGCTTGTATCCCCTACCCTCTGTTTCACCTTTATTTTGACACAGACTCTCATGAAACTTCACAGGCTAGCCTTAACCCATTCAGCAGCTCTCAAAGACCTTGAACTTACAATGCTCTTGTATTAGTGTTGGAACACTAATACAAGACAATAGGCCTGCACTACCTGACCTACTACCTACCCATCTTCTCTTTGGAATTATTCAACTCAAAGCACGTTATGTAATCTTTGAGCTTTTAGTGCTGAATCCTACACCTCTGTTCTTGAACTGTAGCCTAATTTATTGAAACATTTTTTAAACATAATCTTTTATTAGATGCTTAGGTTTTTAATTACAGGACCATTCCCCCATCTTCTCTTTCTGCCCATATTTGCAAATTCCCAGTGGTTTTGCTTTCTATATTTGATGTTACAAAAACAATCACACTAGTGGGAAAAATGAGATTTGGTCCATTCTAAGAAATGTGTGTTTTAAAACTCCTAGCTTCCAAACAACATGCTGTTGAGTTGTACGTTTGTGTGGACTAACCTGTTTTCATATGGAGTGAAGCTTTTCCTGAATGAATTCCTTTTTGCTTCAGTGAGGGAGACTAACATCCATAGGAACGTTCCAGAGAGGGCTCCATTCTTCAGGTGAGTCCTCAGAAACACTCGTTGCTATTTCCCACCAAGCAGTGAACAGGAAGTATAAGGGGTAAGTGAAATTGAGGCATCTTCAGCAACAGTGTCCCTGAACCAATGTCCCTGTGCATACAAATGTTTGACCCTCTTGTCATGACAGATGAATCTGTAACAGACTTCCATATTGAGAAATAACCTACCCCTATGTTTTTCCATATACATTCTGCCTTTACTTATCCATGTTCAAAGTACCAATTTCCCGGGATGTTGCTAACAAAGTCAGATGATAATAGGCATGATGAAAGGGGGACTGTTTTAGACCCCTCCTCTTTTTTAAAAATACGTGGAGAATTCCTGGGACATGGGTACAATAAGAGAAACACTTTAGGATGCCATTGCTTTAGTGGCTGAATTCCCCTATGGATTTATTTTTATCTAACAGTTGAATAGGAGATATTGTGCATAGCTGTGACCTCTCCCACCCCATGGTTAGAATTGCTTTACTAATAAAATGCTTCTATGGTGACCTCCCCAGATCTTTTGACTCTTATTGCTTAGGTGGCACTAGAGGCTGAGGCAGGGCTTCCTTTAGCAACACATTTGCATAAGTTGGTTTGAATGATCCCCATGTGAGTCCCTGACTCCAGGGCTGGCCTGTCATCTCAGAAAAGCCTGAGGTACTCATTCCAAAGAGATCAAAACTCAAGAATTAACTAGTCTTCATAAAATGAGAACATCTCCAGGAACAGTAAAACAAATGATTATCATTTCTTCTTGGCGTTGGACTATGCCAAGCTAGAGAAAAACAGAGCTCTCAAACGTTGACAATCTGGTATATTGAAGTATGACCATTATTTTTTATTTTCCACATTTTTGGTCCAAAGACAGTTCTGAGTAATTGATTCCCATAATGAGCTATGGTTCGTTAGTCAATTTAATTTATAATTGAATTGGATGGATGTAACTCTGTGTAAAATTGTCTCTGAAGAATCTGTTTTGTTCGTCTGTTCAACTTCTGACAGGGATGGAAGAAAATCTAAATTATTCCCTCCTGCAACAGGGAAAAATTCATAGTCTCAGCTTCCCCGGTGAAATTAAGAGAAAAAATATTTTTAATAGTTGCCATGCAAAAATATTATGGCTTTACTAAAATTTATACAAGCGTGTCAATTAACACATTCACTGCAAGGACAGTAGATTTGGGAATCTGTGTAAACGCCTGAGGCAAAGACCTTGCCGAGTCCCAGGAAGCTTTCTCATTATTAGAAAGAGCACCAGGTCTCCTGGCATCTATCATCATTGGTTATTGACAAAGATTGTCCTATTGCTACATAAATACACCAGGAAAACAATAGCTCTAATTCTGCAGGTGTTGCGCAATTACCACGACTTGTATTTTCTATACATTTTCAATAATGCTATAATTTGGGAAACAATTATTAAAATAACCATGTAGCATTTTCATTTCTTTCCCAGTTTGAAAGCCTGTCAGGAAAATTTGAACTTTAATTGTGAACAATAGGCTTTCCTTTTATTATTATTTTTTATTTTTTTTTACTCAGAGATTCCTCCCTTCTTCTTGAAGCCCTTCACATTTAAAACTTTTACAACCATCTTAGCACACACTCAAAACAAAGCCATAATTATGTAAAAAGAAATGTTTTACAGTTAATGCCATCTAAGACACTCACCAAGTGCCAAAATGCATAGGATTTTGGTAAAAGGCAATCTGTTCTTTGAGGATAATACATGCAAACTACTCTTGCGCGAAACCTGAGGCAGGAGGCAGGAATAGTATACTGCCTTCGCTCACACCTATGGAGCTGACTTTGATACTATGCCCAGAACTGGGTTACAGGCTGTGATTTGAATGCAGTTTAATCATTTTTAGAAGCGAAGGGCCTTTAGGGTACTCTTGTTCCATGAGACTTATTACATCTAAGAAAGATGAAGGCATGGGGTTTATTCTTCCTCGTTAACAATGGTAATGATCCCTAATGATGGACTATTGTATGAAATCCACTAACTGGGAAGATGAGATGGATGAAAACAGCTGTCTTTTCCATTGTGAGACCCTCTCTTCTGTGGACAAAGAGATCACGGATTCCCATCCCAGACTCTGAAGGAGAAGGCATTATGTCACTGTATGGCCACTGCCATTTCTATGGGCTTTAACTTAATCCCTTGCAAATGTTAAAAATATATATTTTACTTAGTAATAATGATATGAATAAATGAGGTTTAAGTAAGGCGGGTCAGGATATAAAGTCCAAATGTTACAGTTCTCGAGAGGTGAAGCATTCACAGCTTCTCTTTCTCCGGAACTGTCTGCTCTCTTTCCTTGTCCTTTGCAGGGTTTTAACTGTTTTTCTTTTAAAATTACTGATGCAGAGGCAGAAGATATTTTATTTGGAAAAATACTGTTCAAATGAGCCATGTTCAACTTTAACACTTTGATTGTAAACAAAGCAGGCTTTGGCTTTATCGGGTAAACAAGATCAGCAGAGATCTCTGGAACTCATAACTGTAACATTCCTCCTCAGGGATTTCCAGTGGGACTCATCTTTTATGTAAGTCAGGTATGTAAAATGGATTGGAAGTGAATCTAACAAAATATGCAAAGCTCCATCAATCATTCATACACAATGCTCAGTTCAATGAGGGCTGGCTCCAGCACCCAGATACACAGTGTCATAGTAACTTATGCTCTATGGCACAGAACCCACGGTCATCAATCACCCCCTGACCAGCCCAAGTTACACTTTTGCTTTAGTCCTTGAACTCCTGTGAGTGGACTTTGAAAACTATTGTTTTTATCTAAAGTACTAGATCGATACCTGTGATCAATAAGCATTTATTTCCCACTAAAGAGGACAATGGCCACTGGGATCACGAGATGTTCTCAAAGAGAAAAATGTTGGGTTGAGTAGGAGATCATTAATACATCAAATTTTACCGGGGCGGTGTCTTGAATATCTCCTTGAGGCTGATGCTCACAGACTGCCCCTTTGCTTCAAGATAGCTGTTTCTTTGCTGGACTTTCCAGTAAACTCCTCAGAACCTTGTGTACTGTTGGGTTCTGTAGTTTCAATCCTCAGCCAATAAAAATGGAAAGCATTACTTATTGATGATTTGGCCTTGTGAAATTTTCTAAGGTGTCTTGTTATAAAAACACATTATAAAGCATGGGCAGCCCTTGCAAAATGGTACCTAATAATATCACAGTGGGAGATCAGATTCTATCCCTGGGTCAATGCTCACCTAAAGTTGTGGTCCTGCCTTTAGCTCATGGCATTAGGGGAAGGAGGAAAATTTTAATGCCAGTGACAGGAATCTCTCTTCTGCAACTCTTCTCTGGTTTTCACAGTAATATTTCTAACCATTTAATCCAGGCAGAAGGCCATGGCTTATATTTTTACTGTGTTCAGAACTTCTAGGACATGGTTTTCGCACTGACAAAGTAATTAAGAGATGATCTAATGGAGTTATTGCATCACCGTCCTGCAGTTTTGCTGAAAACTCCTGGCTTTCTGTTAATTCAGGGGATCGTCTTCTGCTTCAGTAGAGGGCTGGCCTGAATGAAGGGCACTTGAGAAGTGGGTTTGAAAGAGAATGGGTCATCAAACAGTGCTGAAAGTTTCCTTCCACGAGAATGTTGGGAGACAGGATACAAAACAAGGTAGAGAAAAAGGGAACTCCTCAGTCCTTGTACCTTTTGAAATGGCTTACTTTAAGTACATTCAACTGCGTAGCACCCTTGATAAAAAAAATCCCTGGAGCAGGCACTGATACATATCATCTTACAAGTACATGAAATGCACACTAGCACATGAGCATATATGTATATGTATGTGTATGTATCTGTATATATTTAACAGCTTCAGCAACAATATGCAAAGCATAATTTTATCCTGGATGATAATGAAGATGGATATCTTTTAAATTTTTAAAAAATTATTTTGGTTGACTCATTGTCATATAAAGTTGTATTGGCCTTATTGGGGAAGAGAAAAAGCATGAAGGGGAGCAGAGATGAGGAGTGAATATGATCCGAATATGTTATGTGTACATGTCAAAATGTCACAATGAAGCCCACAAGTTTGTGAAATTAATATAGCTAGGTCAATGAACTAAATTAATAACATGGCTTTGAACTCATGGAAGCCTGTTCTTTTGTTACCGACTTTGTCTTAAATCTGAATAGATTTTGCAGTTTGTGCTAATTTTAACCTTCCAGTTCTACAGCAACTTTAAAACACAAGATGTCTATTTTGTGAACAAATACAACTGATGCCACATAATGGCCCATGAGCTTGTTTTAGTAATGCAAGGAATGGCATTATTGGCATATACTAACACTCCCTCCCTCAGGATACAGGGATTATCTCCCCACTTAGAGCTTTCTGATGTGTACCAGGGTAGACATGAGTGTCAATGTACAGGAAAAATATAACTAAGGTTGACTTTGTACATGAACATAAGTGAGTATCCCATTATTTCTTTCTGCGTAGGTTCATCTTACACAGCTTGTTTTGGAACTCTCTGTGCTAAAGTTCTAGGGATGCTCTCTGGAGAAATTCACCTGACACGAACATGCATGAGGTCACATGCTACCTCCCCATCTCTTATAGTCAGGAATATCACTTCCATACCCTGGCTCTGTCTGAATCATTCAGGAGTTGGAACATTTCTGTCTGCTTACTCTGTATTTACTGAGAGTCTGTAAGCTCTAGTGTTCAGTGTATCTGACTGTCTGAAATGTGGGGTCTTACTGGAAAACTGTAGACAGAAACTGATTAGAAGTAAGGATCTATGCCTCAATGGCAGCACGGACAGGGGGAAGTGGTCACCAGGGAGTGTTAGGCCAAGGGACACTCCATAGAGAAAGTGATGGAGGAGCTGAGACCTTCAAAATAAATAGGACAGATCCCAAGATGAAAGAAATCAGGTGTCTTAGAAAAACTAAAGGATGTCCTTGATGGCTGGCCATATAGAAAGCAACAGAGTGAGCAATCAGGCAAAGAGAGGCTGTACTAAACAAGGTTCTGTGTGTCATCTTAGGACTTTGACTTTATTCTGAGACCTGTGTAAAGCCACTAGAGATATTTCAATGAGGGGAAAACATGGGTAGGAGAAATCCAGTACAGAAAATATTTATGATAATGTTAGCACATGCTAAGTAATCCATATGTGTTAGCTTGGGTTAAGGTTACCATTAATATGAATATAATCACCTATATTTATTGATTCCAACCACTAATATCTATTCATTACTATATTATGTTTGTGGAGTGTTCCCTCTGGTTTCAATCTGGAGAAGACTGAAGGCACAGAACATTTTTTTCTGAGTTCTTTGTTCTTGGAAATTTCTTCTCCTTACTTCTCGAGACATGTCTGGTCTGTTAGTGGTGTGTCCTTTGGTAAAGATTCTTACAGCATTGGCCTTGAAGTAAACTAAGTGAGGAAAGGTCAGAGGCGGCTCTAGAAGAAGTAGGGATGGATAGAATTTGGAGAAATGTTGTCCAGTAGTTTCCATTATGCAGAAGCATACATTTCACACGGACAGCATCTCTTATGGGCCAGTTAGGTACACACACTGAATAAATACCTCTCAACTGGCCTAGTTTTTCTTTTAACTTATGAAACCTTCCCACAGTGGAATAGCTGGCTTTTCTATCATTGGCTTTTTTTTTTCCTATATGAAAAATTTTGACCTTACCTCTTTCCTTTGAGATGTGTGTGTGTGTGTGTGCTTGTGAGTTAAGTTTATTTGCCTGAGTTTCAAATGTTTGACTTGCCTCACTAAAGTCATCAAAAACCTGTTTTAGAAACTGTGGTGAGCATTATTTGAGTGTGGTTACATTACCTCTACTTAATTCTTTCACTGACATAAATTCTTCATTAAGCACTAAACACCAAATATACCTTTAGATTGTATAGATATCAGTGAATGCTTCATCATTCATAGTGTTGTCCATGATCCTGAAAACAATGTTTGTGTCATTGATGTCTCTGCAGAAAAATTTAGAAAGCTTTTCTTCCTTTGATGTCCTCAGACACCATTTTGTTGAAGGGAAGCAGCCCCAGATTTTCCTGTTGTTTGTTAGTCTTGGATCAAAAAGCATCTAAAAGAATACAGCTGTGGACTTTCACGTTCACAGGGAGAAAAGTGACCTCTAGGGAATCATCTTAGATGGCCAGGAGATAGTTCCGTCAGTAGAGTGCTTGTTGTGTTAGTATAAGGACTTAGGCTTGAGCTCCTGAACACATGACAGACTGAGCATGGTGGTACATGTCTGTAACCCTGGTGCTAGAGTCACGGGTGCGGGGAGACAGGAAGATACCTGGGGATTATTGGTCTGCCATTCTGGCTGCATCATTGGGTTCTAGGTTCAGCAAAAGGCCCTGACTCAAAAATAAAAATAAGGTAGCAAGTGATAGAAAAAGACACCCAAGGTTGACATCTTGACTCCAAATCCCTGTGCACATATGTGCATATATATATATATCACACAGAATACAAAACACACACACAATGAAATGTCAGAAAGCTATCTTTAAGCCATCGGGGAAATAAAAAACCCCACATTTAAATGAAAAGGCACTCGCTGTTGAGAGGATAACAGGATGGAGGCAGTGAAAACCTAGCTGTGTTTAGGCACTCCATCACACGCAGAAACGGGCGGTTTATTCTTGTTTCTGGACACACTACTGCCTGCTGTGCAGAAATTAAACATTGCATGAAGCAGGTATTTAGAATGCCCATCAGAAAAAAAGATTAAAAACTGTAAATCTTTGGCTCATGAGGCCTAGACGGAACCTGGCAAACCGCCTGTTCTGCATCCCCGTCCTACGGCTGAAGACACAAACTCTCCTACGGCCAGGCAAACAACAAGCACAGATTTGGCAAGGAAATCTCTCATTTTTATGGTCCTTTCTTGCACGAGAGGAATTGATACCTCAATCCTCTCCTCTTCTGTGACTTATTCTCTTACTCTCAAAGGACAGAACTGAATTCCCAGACCCAAGAGTAAAAAAAAATAAAATGCCCACTGAAGGTAACAGTGCTTTTGAGTCAGAAGAGAGCCTTTTCTGATGATGCAGGAAGATGTCCCCATGGAGATGTTGGAAGAAACTTTGTTGTGAGGCGATTCACCTGTACCTGTTCAAGCTTGGGGTGCTGGAATTCTACCACCCTCAATGACTCGATTGCTATAAGAAATGATTTTGTTCCAAATAAACAGCATCCTTCCCTCCCCAGTGTGTGACTCTGCTTAACAAGCCTGACTTAAGGATTCAAGCGTTATGCTGGTCTGCCCTTGTCACTCAGGGGGTACCCTGGTCAGACTAGGTGCAAAGGACCCTTTTAAAGAAAGACGTCTGCCCACTTACAGACTCTTTCTGATCTCTCCCGCTCTCTCTCTGCTCCCTCTCTCTTTCCGTTCTCTCTTTGCCCTCCATCTTTCCTGCTGTTCTCCTGGGGCAGACAGGACTTTTCCCGTCTCCCTCTTCTGTCTGTCCCTCTGTCCCTCTGTCCCTGTGTCTCTTTACCTCTTTTCTCTTTTCTCCCCCCTTTCCGTTTGTAATAAAACTTCTCACTTAAGCTCTGTCTGCCTGGTATGTTTGCCCGCCTGCCTCGGTCACCCTTGCCTGCCATGGAATCCACCAGAGTTCCTCACAGCTTTATTCCTAGCACTGGCAGTGCGTTGGAAAGGCAGACATAATTTAAAGCAGGCGTTTGAAAGCTAAGGGTATATAATTTGGAAGAGCTGGGTTTTTTTTTTGTGTATGTGTACTTTGTCAAGTTATAGCTTATCTTTGACTTTTATGTGTGCCTTCCCTTTTGGGTGCATTTTCATCCAATACCATTGCAGATTTATATATGTAATATAACCTAGAGAATGATGAACGGTATGCAATACTGGGATTGTTGGTGCTATCCATTTACAATAATAAAAAGTTAAAAAGACAAAATGTAATGATAATAGTAAACAAAAAGCACCAACGCTCTTCTAACTTTTCATCCTGACTTTTCCTTCTCTGGTGTCTCCTCTGGTGGGCATCAGCTGACTGTTCTAAACCCATGCCTGTTATTTCACTTCCTTGCTTTCCTTCCTGTTGTGTCCCTCTAGGAGTTTCAGATCTCCAATATTTCCTCCTATTTTCTTATTTGTTACAAACTTTAAACATTTATGTGGGTGGTTATGAGGGTAGGTGTGGGTGAGTGTGTGTGTGTGCTTGTCATATTCAGAAGTAAGTGAGTATGTTTGTGTGTGTGTGTTGGAATGTGTGCATGTGTGTCTGGTCTGAGACTAGAGGTTGATACTAGGTACCTTTCTCAATTTATGTGTATGTGTGTGCATGTAAAAAAATTACACACACATACACACAAACACATGCGTGTGCGCGCGCACACACACACACACACACACATATATATATATATGTATATATATATATATATATATAGAGAGAGAGAGAGAGAGAAAGAGAGAGAGAGAGTCTCAATAGGTAGTACTGTATGTAGCTCTGGCTGGCCTGTAGTTTACTATGTGGAGCAGACAGTCTTGAACTCACAGAGGTCTTCTTGCCTATGCCTTTTGAAGCCTAGGGTTAAGGCCTGTGCCATGATGCAAGCTACCTTACTTTTGGAACAGTTTGCCACTGTATCTGGAGCTCACCAACTCACTGGCCAACAAGCTCTAAGATACTGCCACTTCTACCGCACTAGGGTTTCGCACGCGCTACCGTGCCCACTTCCACCGCACTAGGGTTTCGCACGCGCTACCGTGCCCACTTTCTCTGTTTACATGGATGCTGGGGACTCAAACGCAGGTCCTCTTGCCAGTCCATCTCCTTAGTCACACCCTTTTCAGTCTTCACCTTCCTTCCGTCTTCCTACTTTCGTCCTCATCTTTCTCTCCATTCCGCCTTTTCCTCCTATGTCCTTTCGTATCTGTAAATTTATCTTTACTGTCGCCTTCATTTTGTTTCTTTTTTGTAAAATGTACTCCATTGTTAGGGTGAATGTGGAGATGCTAAAGTGTAACTTGCATTCGTCCTTGGAACACTGAAAACACTGGAAAAGCACAAGGTGTGATAATTCATGAGGAAAATATTAGAACAAGGCTCTAGATCAGGTTGACTTACATACTTAGAAATGCATAGACACTAGAATTGCATGTCATGCAGGAACCCTCAGATCATAATTGTGTTATTTTATCCTAGCCCATACATATCCTAGACTTCTATTAGAATCCACCAACTCTTATGAGTTCATCACAGGTCTCGGAACGCTGTGCGGTATGGTTTGGCAGGATTTATATCAACGCTGCAGATAGACTACTGGCCTTCAGACACTACAGGAAATGGTAAAATTGGTTGTAAGTTAGAGTTGGGAGTTAGCACAGTTCCAATCAGAGTATTTAATTTCAAAATCATGGCTCAAAATCAGGCACCCCCTTGAAGCATTAGCAGAAGAATTCAGCAAATTATTTGGCTCATTTGCAAGACCAAATAAATATAAGGCCCACTATTAAGCCTCAGCTGCTAGGTTTTGAGTTAAGAAGTAATGGGTTGTGGGCACAGAGATCACTAAACCAAGAGCAGATTACTGGATTCTCCTTTATTTTTACACTCAATTGGCAGAGCTACTGTATTGACCCTCTAAACACTGTTTCAGAGAGAAGTGTGTTCTCATTTCATGTAGAGTACTGTGTGTTTGAAATTCATCTTGATCACTCAAACTCATCGCTGCCTCTGTTGTAGTCACTGTTTCTAAATCCCTCCCCACAGGTAGGAAGTAGTATGTTGTCTGCACTGTGCACATTTCTAGGTCAGCACCACAGTGCCAGGCACACCTCTCATGCTGGCTTTGCCTCCTCTGGCAAGCTTCCCCTATGTTGTTTGACTGGAGCTCTGTTCTGCTCCGTATGACTTCATCACTTTACAATCCAGAGTTAGAAGTAGCCATTCCTGTCTGGTATATGCCATGCTTCTGATGGAGAGAAAACAGAAGAAAGACAGAGATAATACTCATCAACTCCATCAAGTTTCCACCTATAGTTAAACTTGATGTAAGCCCCCTTGCAATTGGCCAAACCAAGTCACATGAACAAGACTGAGCCTAGGTAGACAGAGTTCACATCTCCCAAGAAAGGAGCTGTAGTTGCATGGCAACAGAATGAGAATAGAACATTCTTACAGGGAAAGGGAGAGAATGACAGGGACACTATGATTTCCATACATAATAAAAGCTATTGAAATGAATTATAGCCAGGAGAATAAAATTATTAGTATATTCTCTTGAGAATGAATAGGCAGGAGATAGTTTTAAGAACTTTTTCTTTGTTTAGCTTCCTCAGCAAATTTCTCCCATTTATAAGTGGAGTTGAATAACATTATCTGATTGAGTACTTAGCATTAATTCAATACAATAGTTAAATACATGGCCACGAAATGGTTAAAGAACAAAGAAGATCTGTTACAGGAAGAATTAGAGTGGTTTCTTTTCCTTTAAGATCCAGATATAACTTCTTGGTGGAGTTCTTCAGGCCCAAACTTGTTCTAGCCAAAGCTTGAATCCCATAATCCCATTTTCTAGAGTTACCACCGGGGGGGGGGGTTTGGGGGAGGGGAGAGGATATGAATCTATAATTGTCTTTCTAATATCATATGTTAGCTTTGGCTCAGATAAGGGCAACAGCTCACATTGTTATTATCACTGTGGTTGATGGAAACTCAGGACCTCATTGAACTTCCTGACTTTCCCGAAAAGAGCGCAAGCTACAGTCTAAGAGTCTCTGCCCCTAAGCAGCAATCACAAGTTGACCACGTGTTCCTAGTAGAGTCTTTCAAGTTCTGTGAAAGCAGGGGTACCTATGTAGGCTAGGAACTTGGGTTTGTTGAGAGATTCAAAGTCAAGCATTTGCAGACTGGGAAGCTGAAGTCTCAACAATGAGCTGATTAGATTTGATAAAAGGAAATGGCCAACTGGTCTGAATTCCTGTAGACTAGCATGTGTGATGGGAAAGACGAGAACAGAGACTTAACTCAGTTTCCAAGTGCAAGCCAACTTCAGTCTCCCTTGGATCCACATTGTAATTGTATTTCCATATTGGTAGTTCATTATCTATGGCATATCTATATTTAAATTATTTAGCTTATGCTTTAGATTTTATTATTACAGCATACTAAATTATTTACCTGTTTATTTAAAACGTATGTGAATTTACAAAATCATTTTCAGTCTGGCTAAGAAATTTTGGAAATGGGTAAGGCTTAAATAATGTTTATTACATGTCCAGGTGGGCAGAGAAGGATGTCACAGGGTGAATAATTTCCATTTTAGAGCTGTTTTTTAGCTGCTTTCTCTGATTTCCACCTGTACAAACCCTTCTACACAGTAAGTGCTCAGTAAATACTCATCAAATTGACATAGGAAAGTTAAGGACAGGGACTGGGGATGGGCCAGGATGACTAACTCACACCCAGTCAGAAATCCAGACTGATCACTAACTGAATATGTCTGAAAAACTCATTAAAAACCAGGGGAAATGCAGGAGAACATTTCTCCCCTACTCCATTACTCTGTGGGAAATATAAATGAAATAGATCATTTACATAACGGCATAATGTGCCTAGATATAACAGATTATTTGCATAACTGCATAATGCCACTAATCAGGGAAAAAGCCTTAAATATTTCTGGGATATGAACATACAGAATTATATAAGGTATGCATATCAACCAATAATCAGTGCCTTCTCTTTTTTGCAACTCGTGTCCTGATAAGGAGAAACACATCCACAGAAATAAATGAACCTCCCCAGCACCAGGCACTGAAAACTGGGCATGCTAGGCAGGGGCCAAACTGCATGGTCTAAGTTCAGTTTCTCCAAACCAGCTTTTCTTTTACTTGCATCAGGAGCAACAAATAGAGACCTGTACTCATGAAAACACAGTGACAAACCCCTTGGAAGTAATTTTTAGGTGAGTAATGAGGAAGGAAAGGCCAGACTGCTCACATAGGTATCAGTGCCTTCTCTGTCCTGTTAATAATGATAGCATTTCAAGGCACTAGCCAGAAAAGAGGAGGGAAAAAAAGGCAGTGGAGTTTAGTGATAATAATCTTTTTTCCCCATAATCAGAGTAGCTACACTCTGTTATATATTTATCTCAGTGCTAAGGTTCTTCAACATGTATAACTCCACTGAGTTCATTATATTTTTTAATGTATCTCAGATTCATTTCAGATCCTGATTTCCCAGCACAAACTAAAGTAACAAATATATAATTATTCTCATAAATAACTCAGCACCTTATATTTCACACAAGTTTTCCCAGAAGGCACGAGTGCCCTATATTAAATTCTTTTAAGTGTAAGTTGATTAAGGTAAAAATTAGTTGTTATTACCTTATGGACATTTTCAGTTTAGGAGTGATACAAAGTCGGGCCCATTTGTTGCAGCCCACAGGTATAGTCATCAGGAAAATTAATAATCATGTTCAGTATGACTATAAATCATTGTGGTTTAGGCAATTAATTTCTATAGAAAAAATGAAGGATCTGTAAGCATTATTAAAGTGCAAACTACACATTGTAGAAATGTGGATCTAACAAATTCGTGTTGAAGTGTAGGGTTTCCAGTTTCAGTGTGTTAATACAGGGTCATGTGAGGAGGAAGGGACGCTGACGATCTTGAATAGATAATGTGGTGACTTTAGCAGTTTATGAATGCAGTTTCCGGTGCATTCAGCATTCAGAATCTCAGTGTCAGATGAAGTGGAAAAAGTCACTCATTTTTAATAAAGGCAGAGAGCACCATTAGAAGTAAATGAACATGGGGGTATTTGAATGAGCTCACACTCATGGCTTCACAAATATTCCAAGAGCCAGAGTCCAAGGACTGCTGTTTGCAAAACTGTTTCTTGTAGGATTTCTTTGACTCTGGTCTCTCTGGTCAGTGTTCAAAGTGGGACCTGGGAAACAAAGTTCTCTAGTGAAAGACAGCAACATCCATTTGTGATGAAATGGTGGGTACGGACCATCATCTAGTCACTTACTTTCTCATTTAACCTTCACAGAATCAACTATGTATGATTATGTTAATAGCTGAGAAAATATGTTCAGAGTGCTCAAGCAGTCTGAAATAAAGGTCAGAGGATATACTACTCTTAATTCCAGCCTCAGCTGATCTCCAAAGTTTAACGTTTGCTTTCCAAATCTCATCCTTTTTATCTAGTCTTCATCTCCTCTTTTTTATCCCTCTCTTTATGTTTCTGCAGCACATTTTCTTTCCTCTGATGTTTGCTTCCATCTTTATGTTTTTTCCCTGCTGCATCTCCGGTCTGCTATGATGCCCTTGGGCATTCCATAGTCAGTTAATGGCCCATGGGCTCTGCAATGGCAGCCTTGGTTGATGTGGCGATTTACAGAAGGATGTATTTCTCTCTCTGGTTTTAGGCACTCTGTTGTTCCCAGGCCTCCCTTAGCATATGCCTCCTTTGTCCCACCACATCCAACTTTATTAGTTTCTATTCTAAGAAGGCCACATCGCAGCTTTATTTGTGTACTGTCTGAGGCTTGCTGAGAATAGGAGGGAGAAAGACAGACAAGAAGACAGGAAGAAAGGATAGGAAAGAAGAACAAAATAGAGAAAGAAGGAGAAAATTAGAGAATGACTCTTCACATTAAGGAAGCTTTGTCAATTTTGCAGAAAGTCATCATTGGTCCCTTAAATAGCAAAGTGACTTTAAACACTGAATGCGATTTGATTTGTGTGCCTTTTCAGGATTCATTCATGGCATAAAGCTCCTGGCTCTATTGTATAGCATCCCATTTTACAGAACACAGTGCATGGTTAATAACACATTTTCTTACCTCATTTGACTCTGGACAGTGGTCTTTTTTTCTGTCACACAAGGAAGGAACTTCAAGTGACTGATTTCAGCTACACAACGAAGGAGGAGGAAAAGAACTCAGTTCTTGTGACTTTAACTGTGGCTTCTTCAATAGAGACACGAACTTCTCCTTTGAGATTGCCACCCCCCTTATGTGAGACATTAACTCAGCTTGTATGCTCTTATTTCTGTTGAACTTGCTCCAGTTAATGGGCTCAAGGCTCTCCCCATTACTCAATCTGATGGATTCTGCCTAAACTTACCTTACCTGATTACTACATTCTCTTAGTACCTTGGATTACACCTTCCTGTTCTAATTCCTTGTTTTCAGAGACCCCTTTCCTTCTTCTTTCTCCTTAAGCTTCTTCAGATAATTCTTTCTTTCTTTGACTGCTTCACCCTTCCTTCCCCATGTGCTTAAATAATAAATGTTTTGGTCTATTTCTATGTAAGTCTCTAACCCATTAAGTCTTTGCTCCTAGAGTCAGCTATTGCATGATGATGATGATACTTATGTATTCACACCTCTAATCCAGATGTCTCCCTTTAGCACTGTGTCTGTAGTTTCAGTTGCTAAATGAATATATCCATTGTAACATTTAATAGGCAAGTAAAACCGAGTTTTAACCCAAACTAAATTTCTCATCTTCACAAAGCACTCAACGACTCTCTACTAGAGAAAACCAGCCTTCAATCAAGATATCTCACCAAGTTCTACAGGATCTACATTCATCCTGCATCCATCCCTTCTTCTGTACCCCTACTGAGGTTTATTCAGGCTGTGTCTTCATTCTTTGTACTCAAACTGTTGCAACAGCTGTTTATTTATTTACCCAGCAGCAGAGGCCCATTGACACAATGTAACCACAGCAAAGATATGAAACACAGTGTAACCACAGCAAAGATACAAGACTGTTGTTACACCAGCAGCACCACTATCACTTTCTATACCTAATCAGGAAGGCATATCAAGGATGAAAAGAGTGTAACATAATGAGATATCAGCTTTTCTCACATCTCTACCCAGAGTGAATTTCCCACCTAGACCAAGAGACCAAGACAGCTTCTTTACACCCAGTTGCTAAGGTCCACAATTGCTCTGACCCTTTGTCTTCTCAGTGTATCATAATTCTGAGCATTATAATGAGTTCATGTCTCCTTTATACCATATAGTTTGGAATTCAAGAGACCCTGCCATCTTTACTGACTGAAAAGTATGAGAGATGTGTATGTATGTTTTCTGGTGCCCTTGCAGAGACAAAAGGCACAAAGCCTTGACTGCTTTGCTCCTTTTTGCCCAGTATTTTCATTTTTAACTTTTTAAAGGTTTGTTTATAACCAGGCAAGGTGTATACCTTTAGTCCCTTGGGAAGCAGAGGAAGGTGGATTTCTGTGAGTTTGAGGCCACAAAGCGAGTTCCAGGACAGCCAAAGCTATTACACAGAGAAACCCGGTCTCAAAAAAATGTATATGGATGCTTTCTCCGCATGCACATTTATCTGTACATCAGAAGAGGCCGCCATCTAGTCCCATGATACTACAGTTACAGATAGTTGTGAGCCACCAGGTAGATGCTGGCAACTCAGGACCTTTGAAAGAACAGCTAGTGCTCAGTTTCTTGTAGAGGCCATCTTTATCTAACACCCCCACAGTGACTATGCTTTGATTCTCACTGTCACCAACCCTCTCCCACCTTCTCTCTGACAACATACTCTTTCTCTGGTTTAAGCCATCTTTTCTTCAACAATGAGTATAGCACAATGTGTCCTTTGCATGGCACCGGATTCTTGATTCCTCGTCGTTTACTTAAAGTCTCTGTTTTCCAAAGACAGTCCTTATGCAGTCAACAGTCTCTTCATTTGGATGCCCACTACAATTTGAGATGAATTCATTTACACTGTCATTCCTTTATTGTATTATTTAAATATCGGTTATGATTGACCTTGATAGCAAGGACTATGGATTTATTTAATACAAAACTCCTGTATCTAGACAATGGATGGTATTTGGTGAGGGCATAATTAATGAAGGAGTGAGAAAAAGGAGCCTAAAGTACTCCACTACCCAGAATGACTGCAGCTCAGTAGATTCAGTGGAATCCAAAGAATATAACAGTTGAGTTTTAGAACTGTGTAAGTAAAGTCAAAATGCTGCTTCTTCTTGCTAGATCCAAGTGGATGGATGGTCAAATTAGCTTTCACTCTATTTTTACTAGCTGAAAAGAAAACTAGTTCATCTAGCTGTCATGGTGGGTCATACCTGTAACCCCAGCATTTGTGACAATGAATCAAGAGGATCACAAAGGTGATATCTGCATGGGTTACATAGCTTTATATATGTATGTATGTATACATGTACATTTCAATAAATGGAAGCAAATCAACAAATGGAAGGTTTGAATATTAATGGAGTTTCAAGACAGTAACTCATGCATGAGAAGTATTCCATAAATCATGCAAATATTAATTATGACCTACCAAGGCTGTCGTTAGTCATCATCACCTGGATAGAGGTATACTTAGCTCACATTGGAAAAGTGGCAAATATTTGCTATAAGGGTGGATCATATTAAATGAAACATTCTTTGTACCTTCTTTCCTGACTTCCGTTATTCTTCATCTGTGGAAACGTTTCGTAGACTGGGGCTACATCTGGAGAGAAGCAAGAGCCTCAAATGGAGGTTGAGGGGAGGAGCCAGGAAGAATTCACAGTGAGGCTAGGAAAGGCAGAGTGGGCACCTGGAAAAATCAGCATCAGCTCGGTTCTTCTTCAGAGAACTTTGGCATGGCTACCTTCACTTTTTACATCTCTCTTAAATAAAATGCACACACACTGGAACCCACAGATCTTCAGTGAGCAACTTTACGTTGTTTTTCCCAAACATAGATACCCACATGGGCATACTTTTCAAGAAACAGAGGTCAACAGGAGTTTCCCCTGAGCTTTCTGTCAATTCATCTCTCTTCTTCTGACTGCTGGGATTGTAGATTCCCCTCATCTGTTCTTGGACTCCATAGAAATGGAAATACGCATTATACATTTGTTTGTGTCTGGCTTGTGACTCAACATAGTGGCTATGAGATGCATCCATATTGTGTGTTTCAGAAGTTACTCCCTCTAATTGCCGAGGAATATTACAATGTGTGACTATACCACAACCTGTTTATCTGTTCTCTCCTACTTGATGACATTTAAATCTCTACAGTTTTTGGTTATTATGAAAAAAACAGCTATAAACATTCCTATACAAATCATTTTGCATGCATCTGCTTTTATTTCTACTGGGTAAGTTACTAGGCAAGAATGTAGGTAGGTGTATGTTTTATAGTATAAGAATTTTCAAACATTTCCTCATCATCATTGTTACCATTTTATAGTCTTATCAACAATATACAATATTAATCTGCATTTACATCATATTCTTGTCAATACTTAAAATTTTAAAAAAGATTTATTTACTCTGTGTGTGTGTGTGTGTATTCATACATGCATGCCTGTGAACCATGTGTACGCCCAGTATCCACAGAGGCTAGCATGGAGTATCATATTTCTTGGAACTGTAGTTACATATGGTTGTGAGCCACATGTGAGTTCTGAGAATCAGGTTCCTCTAGAAGAGCAGTCAGTTCTCCAACCACTGAGCTCTCTCTAGCCCTCTCAAACATTCTTATAGGTATGAGATACCTCACTCAGGTTTTATTTATATTTCCTTGATGACTAGTACTTTTTATCACTTTTCATATTCTTATAGGCTATTTGTAGTGCCTAGGTGTTTTATTCTCATTGTTTTAAAATGAGTGATTTGTCTTATTATTGGCAGATATTCCTGTGTTGCCTTCCCAATCACCACCCCCTCTCTTACACACATACACAAGCACAGACACACAAGCATACACACGCTCACTGATTGGGGAAAGGAAAGTATTAATTTTTTTCTTTGTTTTCATCGTGTAGCCTCTGACTGTCCTACAACCACTAGATTTCCTGAAACTTTCAGAAATTGCCCTTCTTCTGCCTCCTAAGAGCTAGGAATAAAGACATGAGCCACCACACCCAGCCCAAGAATTTTCTTTTTAACAGTGCTATTTGGCAAGCAAACATTTTTAGTTTTTATGAAGTTCAATGCTTTTCTTTACTGACTAGTTATTTTTCATCCTCATGGTTAGGCAATGGGGGAAGTCCTTCTGTGTATATGTTTCTCTTATTTGTTAATAAATAAACACTGATTTGCTGATTGGCCAGGCAGAAAGTGATGTAGCTGGGCAGAATCAGAATACAAGCAGGGACACACAGGAAATCCCTGAGGCAGCTGTCATCATGTAGCAGGCAAAGGAGTTGCAGGTCTGGCAAGCCAAGACCACGTGGAAATACATAGATTAGTAGTTATGAATTAATAATTAAGTCAGAGCTAGCCAATAAGAAACCATAGAAAATGGCCAACAGTTTCATAATTAATATAGCATCAATGTATTTCTCTGGGGCAGATAAGGGTGGCAGGACCCAGGCAGCTACCAGGAAAGAGCACATGTTACAAAATTGTGCCCAATATGGGGCGCCAGTATGTAAGCAGAGTCCTTAATTGGTCTAGATAATAAGAAGCCGGAGTCGGATATAGAGGGAAATTCTGAGAGAGCAGAGAGAAGGAGCAAGCCACAGCACTCCTTACCTCCTAAGCGTCTCCACAGAGAAGAGAGCAATTTCCTGTTTGTCCCTGCCTACATACTGCTGCTGCCCAGCTACATCACTTCCTGCATGTCTGTACAGAACTCCAGACCTCTATGTTTAGCTAGTGGCAGTTTCTGCCCAGCCACATCACTTCCTGCCTGTCTGTACAGACCTCCAGACCTCTATGGTTAGCTAGTGGCAAGCTTCATTCTCTGACCCGCAGACTGGCTTTATTTGTGCAAGAAAGATATCACTGCAGTTAGGTGTGTGCTCCATCTGACGTTACTGCTTATGAAGGTCCTTTTGATGTGTGTAGACATGTGTGTGTTTGTGCACTTTAGTGTGTCACAGCTACACATCTGTGGCAGTGCATGTACAAGTATATGCATGAGTACATATGGAGGCCGGACCACTTGACTGTCATGTTCAGGACTGTGATCCATCTCCTTTGAAACAAGGTTTCTCATTGGCTAGGAGCTCACCAGTTAGGAAGTCTGGCTGCCCAGCGAGCCCCGGGACTCTCTTAATACCATCACAACCTGGGGTTACAAGTACAGCATCATGCTCAGCTTTTTAGGTGGGTTCTGGGAATCAAACTCGGGTCTTCCTGCTTGTTTGCAAGTGCTTTATTGACTGAGCCGTTCCTCCAGTCCCTAGTCAGCAACCATTGTGTTTTTCATGTTCAGTCTCAGATGCTCTAGCACCAAGTTATAGACAGATTTTCCTTTCCCCTTTGAGTTGCTTTAGTGTCTTTGTCCTTGCCCAGGTATGCATTCCGTGTCTGGCTGGGAGCTTCCTCTCCTGTTGTATGGACACATTTGTGTACTTCTCAATATTATCAAGATATAATTATTTTATCCTTAGGGAATATTTTTATGTCTGCAGACAAGTAGAACCCTTTAACTTTTTACAAGGACCCCTCCATTCCTGACCTGGTTTTATTCTCATATAAATTTTAGAGTCAGCTACAAATGTTTAAAAACCCATTTGTTATCAATAAAGATGTATTTAGCTATGATTTAATTTAATTTCTAGATCAATTTGGGGATAATTAGCATTTTGATACTATTCATCTCAATATAAAGACATTGGCAGTGTTAATAATATTTTAATTTTAAGATAAAAGATTATTCTATTTCTTCATTCATTTAAATCTGCAGTTTCCTTCAACGATATTTTATATTATAATATTGTGAATGTTCTTATATAGATTTGTTAAATTTATCCTTCAGTATATATGTTTTAATGTTATTTAAACATAATCCTAAATTGTGATTTTCTGACTGTATTTGTTCTCAATACAGAGTATGTGGGTTTTATTTTTGTTTGTGTCCTAAGGGACATTGTCAATGATGGAACTGACTGTAAAATTTTGACTTGGAGGAACCTGATGATGTAATAGTTGATGAACCTCTCTTCAGAATCAGACTGAGTTAGCCTCACAGTTAATGACATCACAAATCCCAGACTTAGGAGTGGGACTCACTATCTTTTAGGCAGAGTAAGAATGTCTGACTTTGCAGAGCACTGGAACTGTCTCTGACTCCTGCCTTCCGGAGACCTTTGTCCATGTGGGCAGCATCTGGTTCAATGGTTCAGCTCTTTGTCTTAATGTGCCATTGTGTAGCTACATGTTTTCATGACAGATCACCTTTTAAAATGAACCAGATAGTATATTATATACTTTCTTTTATGCTTATGTCCAAAGTTGTAAAACTTTTAGGAAGTCGTTGTATACAACTATGGTTTTTAATTTTTTTAACAAAAATGGTCTAAGTGCAGATTGTGTAAGAATGACCCACAACAAGAAGAAATTCTTAAAGACCCCCACAACTCTTTATGGAATACTAACTCTGTATCACGTATGGTGAATGTCCTGGGCAACTTCAGAATTACTGCATAGAAGGAAAATTGTTATTTTAAAAATTATTTATAGGATAATTTAGTTTTAAAATCAAATACAGACAACACAAACTTTTTTTAAAAACAAACAGAGAAAATAAACCTCTTGGTTCAAAAGTGAAACAGCCTTGTTCAAACAATCTTGAATTGTTTGCTATTTCACTCTGGGATTCACTTGTACTGGAACTTACATTGTAGAGGGAGACAGATCCAAGTTAGGAGTCACCAGGGCCACCCTGGCTGAGCAGGAACACTGACATAGATCATTTGGGATTATCATCCATTTGACTCAGGACCATGTGTTCTGTGTAGGTGAACTCGAATTATAGCACCAAGCAGAATTTCCTGCTAATATTAAAGAAGACGAATCCTCCACATTGAATTTGTGTGCCGTGGTGTTTATGGTCATAAAATAAGTCCTTGGATATCACAGTTTGTTCTAGCAATAGTCATTGTCCACTCTTCATTCTTAGGAGATGGTATTATTGCTTGATGCCTTTGTCAAGACATACGTTTGGTAGACTATCAATTCCATCTGGTGATGGTTATTTAGATTTTTTTAGTTTACCCTCTGGGATAGTGTTTCATGACTAAGAGAGAAGGGCATAAATCCATTAGCAGGGATTTAGAACATTTTGAAGTAGTAGCCAGAGTTGAAATGTGGCCACTGTACTTTTTGAATGTCCATTCTAATTCATCAGTCTAGCATAGGTTAGTTCAGGGATGATGTCAGTTCCTTCTGTGAAGAGTTTTCCACCATATAAAAATCTCTTTGAGGTCACAAGTGTGCATATTTCCAAAAGGCCTTTGACCTCCTAGGATAATAATATAACTTTGGGTCTAAGTGAAACATTTTCCCAGTTATTAAGACTGAAGAATGTCTCCAGGGCCCAAAGAAAACCTGCTCTGTGAGGAAGAAACACGGTTGTTGTTCCCGTCTCACGGCAGATCTGCAACAGGAAAAGCAGAAGACAAAAGTAAGCGAAAGAAAACAAGATAGCTTCCAACAGACAATTCACACATGTCACAAAAATCCACCCTCCTGTGTCTGAAGTCACACATATGTCTCTGTATTTCTATATTTAGGCTTATCTTTGCAATATCTCTGATTGTGGAAATTATGGAGCTGTTTATTCAAATAGGCATTTGCAGATGATACGTTTCCATTGGCAACGTGTGTCATTTCAAACCATCCAGATCACACAAACTCTTACTTGGTCCATTATTTATATGATTTTGGAATTGTCAGGTTAGAGCCCAAATCTTAATTTTCTCGTAGTCATAATTAGAAATACAAGGCATGAAGCAAGCATACGGCAGTTCTAGCTGAGTTAAAACCATCTACATGCACTCAAACTTTTACTCCTTTCATTTGAATCATTCATGTCTTATATTTAAATATATATTTAATTGCCATCAACAATATACTTTCATATTGTGCTACATTCTCTGGAAAAGATAATGTCACACCTATATTTGTCAAGGTTTTATAAAGAATGCCACATGTCCACTACAGATGGAAGAAAGCCACTCAAGCATTTTCAAAGCTGGATATATATGTATAATATAAGTGTGTGTGTGTGTGTGTGTGTCTCTGTGTGTGTGTGTGTGTATTGTGTTTGAATCTGTATATCAGTGAAGGTGCCATTAACTGAATCTTCCCACAATACACTGGTTTATCATAAAGGGAGCTTATCTCCGTCCTCTTTGAGTGTTCATGTTGTATTGAGTTGACTTTTTTCCAAGTTGGGGTTGAGGGACCCAGACTTCTTTCAGTTTGTGGGTCTGTAGTAACATCTTTAGCTTGGCATAGTGAAAGTCACCATATGAATATATATCAGGCTAGTAAACTTGGAAAGACTGATGATGAGTATCAAGTAGGAGGGGTCTAAGAACCTGGCTGGGAGTTGGCAAGTATCACTTTGGCTCATATTCCATTGGTTGGAATCAACCACATGCCACATGCAACTGCAAAGGGTGGTGTGAAAGCCATCACTCTGTACCTGAGAGAACTGCAGTGTGTTATTAAAGACAGTTATGCCAATATCTTGCTCTAAGTTGTTAGCTCAGACTTGATCAGTGGAAATACTTGGATGAAAATCTGAGAGTGATGTCTTTATTCATGATCAACCCCAAATTTCAGAACTGCGGTTGTTTAGTTGTTCTGTGTTTTGAAAGGAATAGTTCTTAAAGTGATACCGTAGTAATGGTGGGGAAAATGGATCCAGATTTATAAGGTCTGAATTGTTTGCTCCTGCTCTGTTAATTGCCTGAGTGATCTTAGGCTAGTCACTCTTTGGACTTTTCCCCCAATTAGTACTTAGAACATTAAATTAGATAATTGTTAGGTTTGAACCAAGTGACATCCTGTCATTGACTGACTTTATTTTGCCTTGCTGCTTATGATACATCTATAATTAGATGACTACTAAATGGATAGTTAGTATGCTATTTCATAATATAACTGTGACTTTTTCTTATAATACTTAGAGCTTTATTGATAAATACTTCCCTCCCACTGCCATATATCAGGGCTTTAAAAGATTTGCTCTTTCTCCTTTTAAAGTTCCACAGTGGTGCTCTCTCTCTCTCTCTCTCTCTCTCTCTCTCTCTCTCTCACTCTCTCTCTCTCTCTCTCTCTCTCTCTCTCTGTGTAAAACAAAGGTTAACAATAATACCATTTTGACCAATAACCACTAATTAAATCATTATAATCTCAGGTTGCTTAGATAAACTGGCTCATGGAACTTAGTGACTGCCATTTTTAGAAGACAAGGAAT